GAACAAGTTTTTACCTAGTTTAATAATAAATATATTGGGTACTTTTAAATTAAATTTTAAAGCAGTCTTTTGTGCTTGTGTGTAAAGCTCGCTATTATGCAACCATATGTTGTTTAGTATTTTAAATAAAATAAGATAAATCCTTGTTTATTTATTTGTATGCAACCATACATACATGCACACACACAAACCACCTTTCATCTGTACTATTTTCAGTCTATCAGAGAAAAAAAATTGTGGATGCTTCATTAAAAAAAACAGTACAGAAGATACACACACGCTTATACGCACTTGTTGAGGGCAAACACAGATTATTCACTATTTCTCTTATCAAAGGAGCTTCACATTGCAAATCCTCCATTTACAAATCACAGAACCTCAGCTTTACTTAATCTTGTCATGTTGTCACATTTGACTAGCCATGCGAACTGACCTAGAACTGTAAGCACCGGGAAGGCAAGCTGTCAAAGAGATAATGACAAAGAAGCCAAAAAGGGCTGCCAGTGTTTTCACTGGGTGAGAAAAAAAGAATTAATCAAACTTCATGAAAGAAGAACAGAGGATAATCAAAGTGTTTACTGATTTTTATCAACTGATCCAACAGCTGAACATCTTTACCGTACAACTACCGAGAGCAGTAAAAGCTGTAACTAATGGAATTCCATACAAGCGACTATTTACAGCAGCAGTAAACACAAGTTTAAACTGCCAACATAAAGGACACTTGAATTTATAGAAGAAGTTTAATAATGTGCATTAGTACAATATTTCCTAGTCTTTCCAGAGCAAAAACTTCAGTATCTGCTATTTTTCACAGGAAAAAGCAGTACAGCCTTAAACAAACACTAGCACAAAGGCTTTACAGATTCTCCTTCATCTTCATTTTTTATTTTATCTGATTAGTGGAGGAGCATAACATAATAATAAAAGCAGTTCATATAAAATGGTTATTTTTCCAGTCAAATTGCTTAATGAAATGAAGTCAAACTCACAGGCAGCAGTACTAAAAGGGAAGAATCTCTCACTGAACATAGGTATTTCCACAGTAATTCAAAAAGGCTGAAACTGCATTTTTCCAAAGCAGTTTGAATTATATGCACTTCTTGGAAATTCCTTTGAAAGAGTATAATCTGATCAATATCTCCTACCAGAAATGTGAATAAGTCAGTGAGATGTAGGCAAGCATGTATGGCAAAATTTTGACCCGCTACAGTTATTGTGTACCATAGCAGAGGTACGCCACAATAGGCAATCTAACCATTCTAAGCACTTTGTCAAATATTAATTTGCTATAAATAAGTATCTCCATATTTGGTATTGTTTCATTAATTAAATTTCTGGTAGGGTTAGTGTTGACAGGTCAATGACAGTATGCAGGAAAATTGCCATGATTTGAGCAATTGCATTGGCCCAAAATTGCCAATATTCTGTCCAAACTATATCAATAATATGAACTCCAACGTTTGCTTTAAACTGCCTGCTTTTATGATACATTTTTCCTAGAGTTACAAACCTTTCAGAATCTCTAATCAGTTTTAGAGACTGTATCTTTCTCCAAATGGAGGTCAATAACTTAATGTAGGACTGTCAACTTCTAAAGCTTTATAATGCATTTCTTTTGTGCACACACACACAATCACACCTCCTGGGGATGATTCTGCTCAAATATGTAAGTAAATACAGTCACAACTGGACAGATGTTATATCCATTTCAACCATACTTCATTTCAAATTCAGGTTATAAATATATATATAAAATATACACACATATATATATTATTCATATACAATTGCCCCTCTCTGTTATTTCAAAATCATAAACTGGTTATACACTTGGGAGAAAAATAATACCAGGCATGCAAGTGCACTGGATTTTTTTTTTTTTTTTTTTTGCTTCTAGAAGAAAGTTACATAACAGTTAAAACTTGGAGGAAGAAAGACAGACTGCTATAGGTATAGAATAATGATCCTGACCCATTTTTAAACAAAAAAAACCATAAAATACAGGAGCATCCTAGAATGCATTTGGAAAAGACGCTACAAAATATTTTTTCTTTAAAAACTATATATTTTTATCTTACAAAACCTAAAAGAACGAAATATATTGAGCACTAATTTGAAAAAATCATTAAAGATGCTAAAAATCCAAAATTAACAATGCTACATAACCAACATGTAAACAATGGCTTTTATTCTGCATCTCATTCTGATGTCTTAGGAGCCTGATGGAACAAGACTCCCATTGCCCCCATCAGCCAGGAACCTCAGGAATAAATTTCCCCCAATGTTACCATTGTCACAGATTTGAGATCTGTTTTAAAATTCCATCATCAAACTGATGGGAGGTTTCAGATAGCTTCCCTGCCTCTGTTCTAGTTCAGGTCTGTTTGCAGCTTCTTTAATCATGCCTGCCAGAAAAGATCTATCCCAGAAGCACAGAACTTCTCCTCTGAAGAGCAATTCTTTTTAGCCTCAGAATGCACTGGCTGCAGTCAAGACTACAATATTTTTAAATTTCCCATGAAGGATCCCTCTGCCAAATACTTGAATAGGTTTTCTTTATATAATGTGCATGCATGAACAAATACACATACAGAAATAGAATTGTTTATATGGACACAGTATCCTTTCATTAACACACTTATTTATTCAAGATTGCTTTATTCCCAAATGAGTAAAGATGTCACGTGGCTGAGGGCTAAGTATCCTCTGGCAGGAATATTAAAGTATTAGAAAGAGAGAAGTGAATATTATCAGCACAATCACCCAAGACCTCCCATCTCCATTTGATGATAAAGTTCTAACCAAAAGTTTAGTTGAATTATTATTTGAGATCTACAAACACACACATTCTTTACAAGGAAATAATACAAACATACATATACTCACATTTCAGACATTGAGCATAATATCAGTATCTTCACTTTATACCAATTTTACAAACACAGTTGAAGTACTGTAATTGAGTTCAGAAGCACTAAAAAAAGCACTATGAAATTGTACTGCGGGTGTTTTGCATGCATTTGAAAAACCACAGGAAGGTTAGCTTTTGTTCTGAAAGTCAATGTATCTCTGTATATGCTCCATGTATTAAAACATAAACCATCAGATAATAAATTAGTTGAAAGTTAACTTACAGACTTATAAGACCAAATGCAATTTTAGTAACTTGTACCACAGGAATATGGGGCCAGAGAACTGGGGTTTTTTATAAAGCCAAAAGTCCTTTAAATTCTGTGTCTGAAATTTAGCTAAATGAGAAAGAAGATACGGGCTTTCGTTAGCTTTCTCCTACAGATCGTCTTACAAAAAAGGCACCTGGAGTCATCTATGATGCATTTATCATACAGTCAAAACCAGACCTAACAAAAGTACCTTATTGTTGAATCGATTCAACAGAGGTAATCAACTGGTAAACTGAAAAGTTTTAATAAATATATACAGAGATCCATTTCCTTTTGTGTCAAGTTCACTGAATTTACTGATAAAAAAGAGCACTATATTTTTGACTGCAATTCCAAAGTGGTGACATACAGAATATGTATGAAATACTCTAGGGCACTTAAATTGCACCTGAACTGAGGGTAATAAAGGTCTTTATTGGAGAAATAATTATTGCTTAGAATGGTTCACTCAGCAAAACAGGAAACTCTCTTCAGGACAAGAAAAATATTACAGACCGCATGCCTTTCTCAAAAATTCCAAGTTAAAAAATTGCTAAATTAAGTATTTATTCTTATTATGCAAGGTTTGGATTTATAAATTAGTAGCCTCCCTACTACAGCTCACTTTAATCCAGAGCTGAGCAGGAACCACATGTGAAACAACGAAAGCCAAAATGCAAGTCTAGCAAGATCAGGAGTGTGTCAAATATTGACTTCCCAAAATGTATTTGTACTGATTTAGAACTTCGAAAAATCAATGTTAAATCAGGCTTTGTTACAGAAGAACTTTTCAGATTACCACCAAAAATGCTATTGCTATTATACACACTGTTACAATTTCAGCATATTTTGGCTTTGGCTCTTCTTTTTCATAAATAAGTGGGTTTTACTTGTTTCTATGTAGGTCACTATGGCATAAACAATGAAGAGTTTATTATTCACCTTTCATTTATTTCTGCTAATGCAAAACTCTATAAATAAACAATTCTTAATACCAACATTGTGGTTCACACTACAGACCCTTTCATCCTTCAATGCAAACAGCTTCTATAAACGCACTCAGCAGAAGTTTATGCATAACATTATCGTCAGAATATGTCCCGGCATAGTTGCTATTTATTTTGGCTTTTGATTTCTTAAGTAGTGACATAGTACCATCCTTACCTGAATTAAGACTAAGACTGTGGAAAATCTATTGCTTAAAAGAGAGAAAACCCCTTCACATATTCAATATACTTATAAATTACCATTACCTTTTAAAGACATTGTTCATTCTTTTGTACCCATTGGCTTACAACATGAGAGCATATATGCAAAGCAGCTAAGACTGTTTACTTACTAGAGAGCGATCCTCTGAAGACACAGACCCTCTCTCCCACTATCTTATCCATAGGATAGACTTTGTGAGTGCTTCAGGGTCTGCAGTACCCTTGTGGGCAATATTTGCCCCCAAAGAGTTGAAAAGAAAATTGTTAAATCTATAGCACTTACAATGTCCTACACACATCTAAGCCTTGACTCTTTGCATCAGTTCTGTTTGCTTTGGCTCTTTTAAAGTCACAATCTTGACTGTAAGTTTTTATGAGAAGGTTTAACATATCCTTACTTTTCTAGGCCATATGATATTTAAACTGGAAATAAAACACCAAAGTCAGCAAAATAACCTAATGTCTTTTATATGGCAGAACCTATAGGCTCAAATCTACAAATTAATTAAGCTATTCCAAAGATTCAAACTGTGGACCTTCCTATGCTTTCTCTTACGATTAAATGCAGCATGTGAAAAAGGATATTGAGACCTGGATGGATGCATCAAGAAGTAGCAATGATTGTTACCTGCAGAGGTGTTACAAGAAATTTCATCTGCTGCAACGAAGACGAATTGATTTCTGCAAGAGAAGATAAAATTCACAATACTGCTTGCTGACTGGGAAATGTGCTAGCTGCCAATTGACTTGATGTTTACAGATGGGGTAGGGTAAGGGTGCTTAACTTTAATGAATGTAGCAAGAAAAAGTGTTGACGTATTTTAGTACTATAGACTTTATAAGGATCATGAGATAGACATGCTGGGATCTTTTAAATGAAATAATGGTGACATTTGGATATGGACTATGTACAAACTCTTGCATTGGAAGCTTCATGTTTAGTGTTACAGATATGTCAATATAGTCATGAAGTCTAATAAAAATAAAACAGTATTTATATTGATATAGATTTTAAAGGGCACTACCGCAAAATATGTAAAAAGCGTTTTTTGAAAAAAGTAATTGCAATTTACTTCGTGCATCTGAAAGGAGGATACTGAAAGTAAACTACTTTGCTTTTTATATGTCTAATATGATTGCAATTAGAAAATGAATTTTCTGCTATTTATTAAAAATGACATGGTATATTCTCATATACTGTCATCCAAATACATACAAAAGACTTTTGCAGAATCTTAGGAGGATAAACTAGAATAATTTAATAGACACCTTCTCTTGCAAAATTCTTTTTTCAACCAGGTAACATAAAAAGAGAAATGCTAAATACACTAATATTTCAAAATGCAGAAAACTTCATTACGGCACAAATCCTGATTTGTCCTTTCCAAACTCAAAGCAAACAGGATTTGGGTTAGTGGAAACCATGTTTAAGGATTAACACCAAATGTTTCCTTTATATGCATATATGTAGCTTCCTTAAATTATTTTTGTGTTGTGTGGGATTAATAAAGAACCTGGGTGAAGTTTTAACACTTGGGTGCTGTTTTACCCCAAATTGCATAGAGCTGATAGGGATGGTGAGTTTTTGTGTTTTGCACAGCTTTAATGCAAGAGTCTACCAAATAGGAGCTAGAAGGAACTACGTCTAGCTTATACTGAGGACCACCTGGAAAACCTAAGTTCTGCAAGATGATGAAAGCTCTGTCACGCATCAAGTATTCTGAAGATCCTAGTGAAAACTATTCAGTTCAGGAGCAAACTTCTCTTAGGGGTAACAGAACCTTGGAGAGTTAAGTCCTAAGAGAACAAAATCTATTTCTATTACTTCAGCTCCAATGTAACAAAGAAATTTGAAATTCTCATTTAGAAATCTGTCGACCTTTTTATTTAGAAGTTCAGATTTTGGGGGAAAAAAATGTGAAAACAAAACAAGGAATCCATACTATAGGGACAGGATTGATTAAGATCAAAAGAAGTATCTGATCATTGCCTCTGTCCTATTTCACAGATACTAACACCTGTCTTTTAGTATGAATGAACTTCATGATCAAATGTATATTCTTCATGTAACACTTTCGTTTTCAATTGGATGTACAGCTTGTTAGTTTTGCTCTTTATTTTGTCATCTGCAGCACTTTCACAAGCTAATCAGACCCACCTTGCATGTAATGTTAGAGAGACGAATTTAAAAAAAAATGAAGGGGGATACATTTATCATTATAAATACAGGACTACTGTAATTTGTCACTGTATTTACTGCTATCACCTCATTTATTATCACCTCTTGTGATAATTATATAGAAAGGAATAGGTAGATGTTTGCCTAAAAGGGATTTAGCCAGTAGCAATGCAGTCCTACCAGACACTGTTCACAGAAAATCCTTTTGATTAATTTCTATGAAGTTATTAAACTGTCCTCTCATCTAAATGAAAAGATAATTTTTCCTGAAGAAGTCCCCCTAAAGTGGTTAGCTGAGAAACTCCTTTCCTTTATCTCTATTCAGAACAATTGTGTTGTTATGGAACAGTGAGCCACACATCCTCTATCTTTAGATGCCAAAGTACAAAATTATCTGTAAGGATAATGTGCTGGTTTAGTTACTTACAGAAAGACCCCAGAATACTGCTATTTGTCTTTTGGAATCACATACGTTGTTGAAAATGTTCTGAAATCTTACACTTATTACTAATTCTTTACTAGTTAGTCGTAGAACAATTTTAAAATTTTAAACCAAACTGACACCTATTTAAAAAACATCTACCATATACATTCCTTGCTATAGTGCTTCAATTTACATAGGAATATACTATTTTCCCTGTATTTTGCTTTTCTAAAATTAATTTCACAACTCTATAGATCAATTTTAAAAATAAAGAGAAAGTTGCGTATTGGTCAGCATAGCAACTGTGAGAATGAAAAGTGAGACTAGATGCTGGATTTAATAAGCTAGTTCAATTTTTTATAACTAATGAGGACATTATTGGTAACAATTACAAGAAATGCTAACATTTATAAGAAATGGTTTTAGTGTTTTGATAGTGGTCGGTTTTTATTTAGTTGAATTCTGTACTATTGTTTATATAGACCTAGAGGGAGAACTGATAATCAGAGGTGTGACTATACACATATATCACACCTGATGTCCAAAGCAAGTATTATTCCTTACTGGGGACAACCCCATAGTTTGTAAAAGGAGTCCTGCATTAAGCTGACGCTGTGGTGCATCATACTCTATCTGTCTTAAAATACATGAAAAGCACACCTGGGAAAGGGCAGTGAACCAAACTCGGACCTTTGCAAATGTAGGGTTGTCCCTTTAAAGATCAATTCTGTGCACTAACTGTATTGAGGGTACAGGACTTAAAAAAAATCACAAGGAAGGTATGGTGAAAATGTCTTTTAGGATGTTTTCATGTCCCTCATCACTTTACACTTTGAGTCAAAAAGGTACAAGAAATGTAAGTAAACCTAACTTTATTATGCAATTAGCCAATGTCAATTACTGGGACACAGAATTCCTTCTATCAGTTTCATTTGGGTAATAACAGTGAAACTATACAATCAATTTTTTACTGCTCATTGTTTTATGCTTCAGGTGTAAAAGAACACTTTTAAAATCCAGAGAACTCTTTTCTTTAAATAAAATCTTTAAAGTTTTAACTGGTTGTAAGGGAGATAATCAGAAAAACAAATTGGAAGAGTAATGTGACAAATATATTGATTTGAATGTACAGTTGTATGCATTCAACTTGCTGGATATTCACACCCTGGGCTAAGCACAATCCTTTTAAACACTGGAGTGGCACCCTTTGGCAGCCTGAGCTCTCTGATGGAAACCCAGACAGTGTGGGTCATGAAAATGTACTTCTGGGACTCAAAATGGCTGTCTTCCATCTCAGTAGATATTTCCCAAGGGCAAACACTTCCACATGCTATTACTTCTCCTAATCCTATATATCAAGCTCTTATTTCTTCTAGTGAATTGAAAACTACCACAGATTTTTACCAGTAAGGTAAGAAAGACATCTTTAAAGTTGGAAAAAAGGTGTTTAAACTTTTCATGCATTTCCTCTATTTGAACAGAAACAGAGGGAGAGGACGGCAAAAATAATAATGAGTGATGTGATGCTCTTCCTTTCTTTGGGGTAGATATTGAGCCTGCATTACCCCAAGTTTCAGAAAGGTTCAAATATGTTCTCATTTCCTCTGCACTGTTTCCCATAGACCCTTTGGCAAACCCCTAAAAAATATATTCCTCAAAGGTCCCAGATCTGACCTAAGCCTCCCTATCAGTTTTAGTACCTGCTATTTCTACCCAGCAGGTCTTCTGTATATCCAGTACATTAGGTAGTTGCTTTCTCCCTCCTTGATGCTGTTTGTTTGGTGGAAACAGGCCATACTATAGCATAAAACTGGATTTATTCTTTTAAAAAGAAATATTTAATCACTAGATCCCAAGCCATGTATTTGCTATGGCTGTTTAATATGCAGAACTACTTCTGTTAAGAAACCTCACATGTGAATGCCTTCCCTCTTTGCTTCTTGATAAACTGCATCTTACAAAGATTCTGTCTGTGTAGAATGGAGAACAGCTTTAGGAGAGGAGTTTTTGACCACCCTCTGCTAGCATTTCCATCTTAGCATCTTTTTGATAGGGTTACTTGAAAAAAATGGCATGATATTCTACAGGTATTTTTCTGTACTGCACTCTTTCTTACAGGAAGCCTTTTATTACAAGATCCTTGATTGGCAACATTAGGGCCTATGCCCTTAGGAATGATTTTTGGTCATTATTAATCTAATAATTTGTATTTAGACAGGTTCAGGTCTTGCACTGTAAAACCAAGTATTGTTTGAAAGTTTTTGTGATGGCACAAGGTGGGGAGGAGAAATCCAGCTGCCAGAATCAAAATATTGTCTGCAGCACCAAACTTCAAAGAGCATAACAAAATATTTTCAGGTTCAACTTTATCACCTGTTCTAAATTAAGGCAGGCCACTGAGCTTAAAGACTTAGACAATGAAGTATTAAACCACAATAGCTGAGCAAGTGAAGAATAGGAATTCAAGTTAATTTTGACTAAGGGTTTTTTTATTATATATACTATGTAGTGAAAAAATATTATTAATTACAAATTACCTTAGCAAATGTTATGTACTCACAGAAATTAGGCCTTCTAGACTGACTTTTTTTTTTTTTAATATCCTAGACTAATTTCTTCAGTGAGTTAATTAAGAGGCCTAAGATATTTTATAAACATGTTTTCTCAGTACCTTCCCTTACCAAAATGTTGCATCTATTCAACTTTCAAGGAGACCTGTCTTTCACAGTTTTGTTTCTTGCATGAAACCTTAACTGTGGTGAAGTAGTACAGAAAAAATGTCCATATATTCATTCTAAAGCATACTGACCTAATGCAGGAACTACATGCATATCAGAACTGAATTTAAGCTTAGGTAAGGCTTTATATGTGAAATTTAGTAGAACCATGTCAACAATTTGTTATTATTAACTAGTATTTTTAGCCTTTATTTCTATAGAATTTTTTTCTCTAGGCATGTTTAATTACTCTTGACTTTCCTTTTGAGTTGCTTTTAATCTACATATTCTAAGAGTTAGTTTGAAGTTTGAGGTAACTAATATTCCAATGAGGTTGGTTATCTTTTAGTGTACATGTATT